TGACCGACTGAAAGGGAACCGTTTTTCACAAAAATATAAAAATATAAAAAATATTAAGATTCAGCTTTGCCATCACAGGAATACATGACATATTAAAATATATTCAAATAGAAATTGTAATAATATTTCACAATATTACGGTTTTTACTCAATCAATCAATCAATCAATCAAACTTTTTCAATCAAATAAATGTTGCCTTGGCGAGCAAAAGAGACCTCTTTTAAAAAAAAAAATAAAACATTTACCAACCCCAAACTATTAAACAGTAGTATAGTTTAATTTTGATAATTTTTGGAGCAACATAATTTAAGCTCAATGCATTCTGTAATCACTTCACTTTGGGTTTTCCATTCACAATGAGAGAAAACATTTAAATAATATAAACAAATATTTTTTCAATTTATAGTTACCCTCACCAGAAGCCATGTTTGTTTGTGTCTACTGTTGTGATTTTAGATTTAAGTAGCACCACCAGTGTAATGGCTTTGGGCTTAAATATTAATATTTAGTTTTGGTCATACTATTTTACGGAGCACCAGCCAGGAATTTCACCTTGACAGTAAAGAACAATCATGGAAGATTGTTGAATAAATAAGAATTACATAAATTAGAGGGAGTTGTAGTCTGACCAATCTGAAGGATTTTAGAGGTATTGTTAACTTGTAGAGCCTCTTGTATTATCTGTATTATCAACACAAGTGTAATAAAAGTGGTTTTATTATCAAAAGAATAGACAAGAGTAACTAAATGGGTACAATGAATGGATAAAGTGCAAAAGATTGATAAATGCAAGTGACTGTGTTAGATGTTTCTATGGACGTTTATGGAAAGATAAAGTTTCTTGGAAGTAATGAGGTAAACCTTATTCTAGATTCAACAAATAAATCGAGAGATTATTTGTTATTAACTGACATCAGTTATATAAAATCTAATGCAGATTAGATGATCATTTACTTACAATACACACTAATTCTTACGATCTCTGGAAAGAGATTTGGAAAGACTGGGCATCGTTCCTATTTAGGCCTATTTACATTGTGATTTTATTTTATTTTTATTTTTTTGTTGTGTACATTTTGGGACTGATTTATGAAAGAGACTTGTTCCCCATATCGCTATATGGAATGCAAAAACTTTGAAGCTCAATATCTCAAAACTGCTCAGAATGCAGATTATAATTCCAAGGTGACGATATGCTTCTCTATGAATGGAAGGGAAATGGGCTTTGCTTTTGTTCACATAAGTATACTTTTATGCCACCTGCCTGGCTCTCTGTTATTAAAGAGAGAATGTGATTGAATTTTCCGAGACTTTGTGTCACATCTACTGTAGTGTATACAGTACAAAAGATTTTTTACACCTCTAAATTCTTTCTTTTTCTTATTTTTTTCATTTATAGCGAATGATCCCTTCTCGGGCCCGGAGTTGCTGCCTTTGATGTTTCAAATGCCCTTTTCCTTCATATATTTGTGCATGAAATTTGTCTCTATGAAAAAGAAAGTAATATTTCACACCCAGTGTGTGTTATCTTTAAACCGTACCCTCCCAGGAGTTTCAGTTCTGTGAGGGCTTATGTTTGACTGTATCATGCATACCCAAATACTCTTTTTAATTGCCAATAAAATACTGCTGGCAAGGCAAAGAAAGACCTCAAGCTGTTCTTTTCTTCTCCTCACTGTCTCCCTCACTTTGGTGTTTTTCATCTTTTTC